TAGCGTCCACCGCCATGTCCCGTTCGGCGCTCAGTCGCTGAGCGATTTAGCGCTCCGGGAAAGTGTCCAAACTTAGGGGTCTGGCCCATTGGTACAATTGGTCTAGGGCATCTTATCTTAAAGATATGTTAAGCCATTTTGCCTTCCACTTTCGCATAGGTTTAGTAATACAGTATTTTCCCTTAATTTTTAGCCAATGCATTCGATGGTGATTTTTACAACGCCTGACGAATGACGCCGGTGATAACGTCGTGTACATAGACTCATCACGAAATGGAGCCTCATTTCATTCCACAGAAATCGTATTTACTTTCTTTATCTGCGATGTATTCATTTGTACAGTCTTTTCACTATTATTTGCCATACTGTGTACATTTGCATTTACTACTATGAATAAACCCAGTTCACTCGGTGATGACCACAGCAGTATTTTCATGTTATCTCAACCATCGGTCGCTTTGTAGGCGTCCTGTTTGCGAGTCGCGTCTGGCGGCAGAGCGCTTTTTGTGGCTGGTCCGGCATCGATCGATGGAGCAAGCGAGCCAGCGAACGAACTTGCTACGTGCTAAAGTGGTCCATGTAATCAGCGCCCGGCCCCTCCACGTTGGCTCACGTAGTTCGACTTTTCCACCAATCACCGCCGACCTTTGCAAGATTCGCTTCCAGAGTGCCATTTTCCGTTCGCTGGCACTCTTGACTCGGGCCTGGGTCTGAATCCCCGCGCTTAACCGCCAGTAAGATCGGGCTGTGATAGTTGGAGCGGGTCACTTGTTTACCGGTTCAATGCATGACTGGGAAGGCCGTCTCGCGCGGAATCTGGTCCTCCGTCTGGCCCTGATGCGGCCGATCCGACGTCTGCCTGCAGCTTAATTTGTCGATCGCAGTGCTTCTCTTCTGGCAAACTTGAGGCACGGATGAGCGACATGCCCGGCGTACTGCGCTTCGCTGGCTCACGTGATGTCCACTTTGCCCAAGTAGCCAGTGCATCGCCGATATTTCCGTCATCAATCCGTTCGTGGATAGTTGATCGTGTGTTGATCGTGACACCGGCTCGGGGTGTCTCTCACTTCGAGTGACCACTTCGCATCAACCGTTTGCGTCTGTGCGTCTGCCCGCCTATCCCGCTCAGTGTTCTCATCGCGGTCTTGGTACCACATTCTGCCGGTGATGCCTGCCTGTACACGAGGATCAGGCGTTACTCGGCTCTACTGTGACTTGGTAACGCGACTTGCCGATTCGCGGTTTTCCCTAAGAGTCCGTTCAGCAACGTTTTGCTTCTAGAGTTTTCTTCTGAATCTCAATAGCCGGTCTGTTTACATGAACATTTTATGCCAGCGATCCTGAGCTTGAGCGTTGCTATTAATCCGACAAAACGCAAATTAGTGTGTTCGCACCAGCACACGCAACCCAATTCGGCGCTTTTTACTGGACATTTTTTGTTAGTAATACTTTCCGGAGCACCGATTTGTCGAGGCCTCTTCAGTTTAGAGAAGGCTGGATCGTCGTGCAGGCTGATTTATTTGAGTTTGTGCAGCCCCCTGATTCCGTCTCGGACTCGATATTGCATTCGCATTTCTGCTATCAGTCTGATGGCTCGTCCCCCCTTTCTCCGTGCTTTCTCCGCACATTATCTCATCGACTTGGGGCGAACGGTGAGTACCGATGCTTCACAGAGTTAACAGCTAAGGCGACATGCGCAGCAAGCTGTTCGGCTGGCCAGCTCCGTGTTTGTTTTAACCCATCAGTCATTCACTCACTTCACTCTCTCGTATACGTGAAGATGGATATGTCGGTATCAGGCAGGGCCGCGTTCCGATTCTGCAGGCATGGCCCTTTGTAAGAAAACCATCTGGGTCTGTGGTTGCCAGTTTCGACCCATCTCGGCCAGCTCAGCTTCGCCCGGGCGCCGATTATTGCGATATAAATCAGGAGCGAAACTGAGGCTAATTCGCGGCATGACTTCATTTCCCTCGGTTGTTTACCTACCCGGCCCTAAGTATCTCCTGATGACCAGTTTTTATTTTCATGTCTAAAGCGCCCCACATTCCGGGTGACATTTCGCTCTCAGACCATAATTTACGCTATCGTTGTCCTCATTCTCTGACTCTCAGACGTGATCGTGCAGTCAGACGACGATAATGCTCAGACATGTATGTCCATCCATCTTGCCCGGCGACCTAGTCTCTTCATCTCAGCGAAAGTGTTCCCTAGTCAACAATGTAACAGGCTATGACGGCCGAAAACTCCCGAACCTTAGTTTGTTTTGCCTGCACTCGTAACTCTTTTAGATCCTTAGGATCTTCTGATTGTATCTCTCGATCTCCCCGTTTCAAGCTGTGCTCGGACCCCGGTCGTGGCATTCATCACATCTCCGAGCTTGTCTCGCTGTACGCGAGAGGACCTTGTGTGGCCGGACATTCACAACCGATACCAGCTCGCCGGGAGGTAGAGATGGACGCCGAGCCTTTTGGGTAAACCTTATGCGACTCCTTAAGGATAGACATAAAAAGTCGGCAGACTGGCCTCTATCGTTGCAAGTGATCTAAGACCAGGTGAACGCTACTGGGCACCTTACGCTGTTGTAATCTTACAACCTTGGCATCCATACCCGCTCGGTAGGCATTAGCACTATGACATCGAATAAAGAGAACCGGTTTGCAGACTGTTTTTCGTGGAGGATGCAGGTTGGTAGATCAGTCTCACACGCCGACCGGTGATTCCCGTTGCGAAGTCGCTTGGCTTCAATGCGGTGTCCGCGTTGTTTAGTCCTCGCGACATCCTACCTGGTTGTGAGTTAAAACAGGCTGAGCCCTGGTATGTTATGTCGATTGACGGGTGATATCAGAGCTGGGGCCCATTGCAAAATCTCTTAGGTAATATAGTCGTGATGAGTATCCGGCTCTACTAAAATTAATATTCATAGGCGTATGTGAATGGACTTAGTTTCGAAGAATCCCTTAATAGATTCATGTTGGAGAAGCTTTTATTTCGTTTGGATAGAAGAGTGGTAGCGTTTCGTAAGTTGGTTCATCCTAACGCTGAGGGGGGGTTTTCCTGGAGCTAGTTCGCTATATGGACGACTACTTTGCAATTTGGCTACATGGCGAAGAGAACCTGGCAAATTTTCTTAGTTTGATGAACAGGATCGATGGGAAGATGAGAGTCACCATCGAGCTAGAAAATAGAAGGTTTAGTTGAGGGGACCAGATTAGGTCGAGGTGTGCATAAGAAGCCCACAAATGCAGGTTTCCTTTGGCATTTCTTCTCCAACCACATGTATGGGGTTAAATTAGGAGTTATGAAGTCCACGATATGAAGGAACCTGCGCCTTGCGGATATTAAACTTTGGGGCCATGAAATACGAAGACTATTTTGGAATATTGTCAAATAGGATGAAGGGAAATACATATTTGGGGCTAGATAAAAAGGTGTATCACCCTATCACGATCCTAATGCTGCCATCGTGTAATGCCCGCTCTCCAGATCGGGCTGTTACAAGATTTTGTGTTCATGTGTGCCTATGTGAGAGAGACCTGTAGATCTACAGGTCTATAAACGCTTAGCTGGATATGGAGACTAGGCCAGTTAGCGAAAGATTAGGGAGGCGATAGAAATCAACAAAACATCCAATACCCTGAATGGAAGGAGTGAGTGTAGCAAGTTAAGCGGGAACTAGTTGTGGCTGTTGGAGAGTTTAGAGAGAAGTACCACCGAGCGAGAAGAGGCTTGATTAGGCTAGATTTTGTTTTTGACTCACATCACACTCACTTCAAGAGCAATGCACACGCATTTTAGGCAGAAATGCAGCTGTTCGGTTTCATTTGCATCCATTATACGCTTCATTTGCAGCCATTTCACATGTCATTCGCATCCACTCAATTTATGAGGAATCATATAGGCAAATCATAGGCATAAGTAGACCAAATTGGACTATAAAAAGGGAGTCTGTCTAAAGCCGGCCACCTTTCTTGCCTTCGTATTTTTGGTTAATTATCGTTAAGCCTAATGTCCTGCTCTCGCGCAAGTATACAACCACAGCTCCAAGGCAACCCCTCAGCCTCCGTTGAAACCAATTTGCGAATCCTTTACACTCAACCCTTCAAACGAAATGAAAGGTACTCCAACATAAAATGACTGTAGGGTTACATAACCTGTATACATCGTATCTAATGGATGAATGGAAATAAAATTTTCCCGCAGTCCTGCGAATAGGTTTCGTCTCCATTGGATTTCACAGCTTGTTTCCTAAAGAGTAACTTGTCACATTGTACTCTGCTCTACCAGGGTTCAAGGACCGCCGTGGGGCATTCTTTTCCTGGCTGGACGAGAGTATATTTTGCAAGGAGCCTTGACGACTACTCGTATAAATGCGGTAGAATTCAACAATAGTTGAGCTTACTTCATTTAGAGTGGAAGTGTTCGGGGAAGAGATTCGAAGGTTGATTCCAAATCGCTTTATACCTCATCAAAGAGGTCAGACATGGAGTGTATATACAGCTTTTTAGGGTTGCCCTCCTGAGTTTTCTTGGCTCAGCTTTAAAAATGGTTTGTTGATGTCTGTCATACGACGGACTAAGGTCTAGCACGTTTTCACAGGATTCGAAGGAGATTATCTCGGAAATAGTGTCAACATGAATGTTCCGGTGTAGTTAATCGACAGCTGGTCAATAGTAATCCGCCGTCGTCTTCCGGTGGAATCGACCTGCTAACATTTTCACGAAACACTTCAATTCGAAATAGAAGTAAGCTCAACAATTATGCAACAATAGATTCCTCGAAACCCAACTTTTCTTCGCAGAGTTCACCAATCAGTCCTGTATCAGTTCTCTTTCTTGTCAATCCAGGTGCCTGTGTGTGCGTGTGTTCACGTATTTATACATATAAGTCCATAGATAGACCGAGTGACGTACGAAAGCATAGCTTGTTCGAAAAGAAGAAGGAAGTCGTGTAAAAAACAAAAGGCTACAAAACAATGGCTATCGGACGTCGTCTTCTGGTGAGCTCAACTTGCGAATTATTTTCGTGTGAAATAGGAGAAATTCATCTTTTAGTTGAGAGTTTTTCATACTAGATGTTATGATATCGTCGAAAGGAGTCATCCTACAGTCTCTACAAGACACGATAATGATGGTCAACTCTTCATTGCTTTCCATACAGTATCTGTCGCATAGACCGGTTGAGTATGCATTTCATGTGTT